TTGGGGCTCTGACCCTGTATCCCATAGGAAAAGCAGGACAAGGTGTTTTGGGGAGTTTGACGATATTTTTGGGTGTTTTTTGAGTGTTTTGGGGGTGTTATGGGCTGTTTTGGGCTATTTTGCGGCTCTGACGCTGTATCCCATTTGAGATGCAGGACAAAATGCTTTTGGGATATTTTAGGATGTTTTTTGTGTGTTTGGGGTGTTTATTGGGCTGTTGTGGGACTCTGACCCTGTATCCTATAGGAGAAGCATTACAAGGTGGCTTTGTGGTGGTTTTGTGGTGTTTTGGGGCTCTGATCCTGAATCCCATAGGAGAAGCCAGAGAAGGTGATTTTGAGGTGTTTTTGGAGTTTTTTAGGGTGTTCTGTTGCTCTGAACCTGTATCCAATAGGAGAAGCAGGACAAGGGGTTTGGGGGAGTTTGACGATAGTTTTGGATGTTTTTTTCAGTGTTTTGGGGGTGTTATGGGCTGTTTTGGGCTATTTTGCGGCTCTGACACTGTATCCCATATGAGAAGAAGGACAAGGTGGTTTTAAGGTGGCTTTAGGGTGGTTTTGGGTCTTTTGGGAGTGTTTTGGTGTGTTTTAGTTTGTTTTTGGGGTGTTTGTGGGTGTTTTGGGGCTCTGGAACTGAATACCATTGGAGAAGCTGGACAAGGTGGTTTTAGGGTGTTTTAGGAGGTTTTTTGGGTGTTTTGTGTGTGCTTTGGGCTGTTTTGGGGCTGTTTTGGGGCTCAGACCCTGTATCCCATAGGAGAAGCTGGAGAAGGTGATTTTGGGGTGTTTTTTGAGTTTTTTAGGGTGTTCTGTGGCTCTGAACCTGTATCCAATAGGAGATGTAGGACAAGGTTGTTTTGGAGTAGTTTAGGGTGTTATGGGGGCAGATTGGGTTTCTTTGGGGGTGTTTTGCAACAGTTTTCGGCTTTGATCCTGTCACTCATAGTAGCAGGACAAAGTGGTTTTGGGGTGTTTTGGGTTTTTTTGGGGTGTTTTAGGTTTTTTTTGGGTGTTTTGGGGCTCTGACCCTGCATCCCACAGGAGAACCAGGACAAAGTGGTTTTGCAGTGATTTTGTGGTGGTTTTGGGTGGTTTTGTGGTATTTTATATTGTTTTGGGGGTGTTTTGGGGCTCTGGAACTGAATCCCATCAGAGAAGCAGGACAAGTTGGGTTTGGGGTGTTTTAGGTTGTTTTTTGGGTGTTTTGGGTGTGCTTTGGGCTGTTTTGGGGCTCTGACCCTCTATCCCATAGGAGAAGCATTAGAAGGTGGTTTTTGGGTGGTTTTTGGGTGTTTTGGGGCTGTGATCCTGAATCCCATAGGATAAGCAGGAGAAGGTGATTTTGGGGTGTTTTGGGGTGTTTCTGTGCTCTGACCCTGTATCCCATAGGAGAAGCCAGACAAGGTGTTTTTCTGAAGTGTTTTAGGTTGTTTTGGGGATGTTTATGCAGTGCTTTTTTGGGCTTTGACCCATATCCCGTAGGAGAAGCGGGAGAAGATGGTTTTGGGGTGGTTTTGGTGTTTTTTAGGATTGTTTTGGGCTCTTTTGTTGCTGTTTTGGGGCTCTGAAGCTGTAACCCGTAGGAGAACAGGACAACGTGTTTTGGGGGTGTTTTAGGTTGGTTTGGGGCTGGTTTGCAGCTCTTACACTTTATTCCATAGGAGAAGAAGGAGATGGTGTTTTTTTCCTGTGTTTTAGTGTGTTTTGGGGTGCTTATTGGGTGGTTGTGGGCTCTGACCACAACAGGTGGGTGAGTTTGGGGCTGTTTGGGGGACTGTGAACCAGTATCCTATATGAGAAGCAGGATAATATGTTTGTGAGTGTTTTGGGATATTTTTCTGGTGTTTTGGGATGTTTATGGTCTCTGAACCTGTATCCCATAGAAGAAGCAGGACAAGGTGTTTCTGGAGTGGTTTGGGTTGTGGTTTGTGTGTCTTTTGTTGTGGTTTTGGGTGTTTTGGGGTTGGTTTTGGGGTGGTTTTGGGCTGTTTTGGGACTGGCTTTTTTGGACTGTTTTTGGGCTCTGACCCTTTATCCCATAGGAGATGCAGAACAGGGTGGTTTTGGGGCTGTTTTTGGGCTCTGTATCCCGTAGAAGAAGCAGGACAAGGTGGTTTTGGGGTGGTTTTTGTTGTTTTTGATGTGTTTTTGGGGTGGTTTTTGGCTCTGACTCTGAATCCCATACAAGAAGCAGGAGTAGGTGGTTTTGGTGTGTTTGATGGTATTCTGGGGCTGTTTTTCTGCTGGTTTGGGGCTCTGACCCTGTATCCCATAGGACAAGCAGGACAAGGTGGTTGTGAAGTGTTTTAGGGTGGTTTTGGGCTCTGAACCTTTATCCCATAGGAGAAGCGGGACAGGGCGGTTTTTGGGGTGTTTTAGGGTGTACTTGGGCTGATTTTGGGTTGGCTTAAGGCTGGTTTTGGGCTCTGATCCTGTATCCCATAGGAGAAGCAAGACAAGGTTGTTTTGGTTGGTTTTGGGTGTTTTGGGGCGTTTTTGTGGCTGTGACCCTGTATTCCATAGGAGAAGCAGGACAAGGTGGTTTTGGAGTTCTTTAGGATATTATTGGGATGTTTAAGGCTGATTTGGGGCTGTTTTTGCATTGGTTTGGGGCTGATTTGGGGCTCTGACACTGTAATCCATAAGAGAAGCAGGAGAAGGTGGTTTTGGGGTGTTTTAGGGTGTTTTGGGGGTGTTTTGGGGCTCTGACCTTTTATCCCATAGGAGAAGCACTACAAAGTGGTTTTGGGCTCTTTTGGGGTCTTTTTTGGTGCTCTGACCCTGATCCCCTATGAGAAGCAGGAGAAGATGCTTGGTTTTTGGTTTTGAGATGTTCTGGGCTGTTTTGTGGCTGGTTTATGACTGTTTTGGGGCTCTGAACCTGTATCCCATGGGAGAAGCAGTACAAGGTGGTTGTGGGGTGGTTTTGGGGCTGCTTTGGGGCTCTGATCCTTTATACCGTAAGAGAAGCAGGGCAAGGTGGTTTTGGGGCTTTTCTGGGGGTGGTTTTGGGCTTTTCTGGCCTCTGACCTGTATCCCATAGAAGAAGCGGGAGAAGGTGGTTTGGGGGTTTTTGGGATGCTTTTGAGGTGTTTATATTGTGTTTTGGGTCTCTGACCCTGTATCCCATAGGGGAAGCATGAGAAGGTGGTTGTGGGGTGGTTTGGGGGCTGCTTTGGGCCTCTGACCCTTTATACCATAAGAGAAGCAGGGCAAGGTGGTTTGGGGTGGTTTGGAGGTCTTTTGGGGCTCTTTTGCGGCTGTTTTTGTGCTCTGTCCCTGTGTCCCATAGGAGAAGCATTACAAGGTGTTTTTGTGGTGGTTTTGGGAGTTTTTGGTGTGATTCTGGGTTGTTCTGGGGCTCCTTCCCTGTATCCCAAAGGACCTTCCCTATAGGGTAGCCGGCATCCATATGGGGCTGAGAGCATCTCTATGGGGCCACGAGACTCCCTGTGGGGCTGAGGACCAGCCCTTATGGGGCCACAAACCTTTATAGGGGACTGGGAATATCCAACTCTATGGGGCTGGGAGGTTCCCTGTGGGGTTCAGTCCCTCCCTATAGGGCTCAAGCCTTTCCTATGGGGCTGAGGCTTTCCTATGGGGTTGAGCCTTCGCTATGGGGTTCAGGCCCTACCTGTAGGGTTCAGTCTTCCCTACGGGGCTGAGGCTTTCCTATGTGACTGAGCCTTCCCCATAGGTCTGAAGCTTCCCTATGGGATTCAGACTTTCTCTGTGTGGCTGAGCCTTCCCTATGGGGCTGAGCCTCCCATATAGGGCTGAGCCTTCCCTATATGGCTCAAGCTTTCCATATCGGGCTGAGGCCTTCCTATAGGGGTTAGGCTTCCCTATAGGGTTCCCCACCCACCCGCATACATTCCCTTTACTCCCCCATATCTCGGGGGGGGGGGGCGGGACACACGGACGGGACGATACCATTCAAGGCAATAAGGGGGTGCAGGAGTCCCCCCGCAGCACCTCATTTAGGGACCAAATCCTTAATAGTAATAATTAAGAATATGCTAATTAATAATTAGGCTCTTCCAGCACTTTCTCCCCCTCTCCTTAAATTATTTCCTAGTGGAAACCAATGGGTTTAACCCCCCCTTAACCTCCCCCCTTTATAAATCACTATATTTGTATAAATGGCACCTTTCTAACTCTAAATCTTGCCTTTTTTTATCCATTTTTTGCACGGGGGGGGTGGTGGGGGTGGGGGTGTGTCCTCACTGTGACCCCCCCATTGGGGCCCCCCAAAATCATTCTCCCACCAATTGTGTACATTATTTTATATGTCCCCATGATCTTATTTAATTCCCCTGGCCCCCGTTTTGATGCTGATAGGATTTTGATGCTGCCCACCTCCCTCTTCCCCGCAGTGGTTTGTTCCATAAGGGAGGGGTAGAAAAGGGGGGTCGCGACCATTTTGAGGGGCTCGGGGGGGGGGGCGGTCTATGGAATTTTGGGTGTTGGGGTACCCCCATTTTGGGGATCTGAGATCCCATTTTGGGGGAGGTGTCCCCCATTTTGGGTAGTGGGGGGGTGCCCCCCGCTTCGTGCCCGATGAGCCTGTCCACAGGAAGGGCGTGGCCAAGTTGGATGGGGCAAGCTCTGATTGGCTGGGTGCGATTGGGGGGCATGGTTTTATCCAGTGGGCGTTACCAAGAGGCAGAGCAGGGGGGACCACACCGGGGTACCCGGGTGCACTCAACGGAAGCGAGGGGGGATTGCGATGCTGATGCGTGACTGTTAGCGTTATAATGGACCAAATTCCTTTGGGAACACCGTTTCCTTCCACAGCGCCACCACCTCTGCTCATCCATGGAAGCAGGGAAGCCCAGAAGGAATCACTTCATCTTCATTGCGGGGTAACGGGGAATCACGTTTGGAGCGCGTGCTGCCTGGATGCCATCAGAGATGGAGAGCAGGGAATGGGATGGCGGAGGCGATGCCCTTCGGTCTCCAGAGCTCCTCGGTCCGGGTCTGTCTCTGCCATCTTTTTCCCTAAGGAAAACTGCAGCATTCCCAGCAGCAGAGCGCCCGCAGGCGGGATCCCAGGCTCCGCTGCGCTGGTGGGGTCCCGAGGATGAGCAGGGTCTGAGCCGTCAGGGAACAGAGGCTGGGATCACCCTCATCCAGCAGCGCTTCCAGAGCTGTGATCCAAAGAGAGCGGGATGAGCCCCTCCGTAGCCAACAGCATCCCCCCAACCACAGCTCCCTCCTCACCTCTGCAGATCTGCTGCAGCTTCCATGGGCTTTTCCCTCTGAGGGGCCGTGCGGCCAATCCTAGGCACAGGGATAGATTGAGATCCATCAGCATCCATCAGGGATCCATCGGGATCCATCAGGGGTGCAGTGGTGGGGACCAGGATGGGGACCCCAGGAGCTCACCAATGAACCTGACGGCTGCCTCTTGCAGGGGGACCTGCGCATCCTGCAGGTACTGCAGGCTCTGGTGCAGGTATCTTTGAGCCCTCTTCCTGCTCCGCTCCAGCTGCAGAAGGAATGGGATGCTACAGAACGCCCCCATTGGCTGGAGCAGTCCCAACGCTCCCTTTCCCATCCGGTTGTGGGATGGGCAGAGCGGTCCAAGGGGTTCCAATGGGAATAGGGATGGATGCAGGACCCGTACCAAGCACCCTGCAACCCTCCACGTCTGCCTTGTCTCCAATAGGCACCGGAGCTCTTCCCATCCCAGGAGCATTGCCGCAGCAAGGAGAGCTTCCCGGGAAGCCTGCACAGGATGGGATGGGAGACGGCACCTTGGGGATGATCCCACCCTTGGGAACGTGGGATACGGGGGGATGGGGCGGGTCCGTACCTCAGCCACGCTGCGGCTTTGGTCGCTCATGCGGAAGAAGAGCGGGAGCAGCAGATCCCAGGTTTTTCTCCGCATCCTCCACCTGTCCCATCCAAACACCAACTCCAGCAGGAGCTGGAGCAGGCGGATGGAGAGCTCCCGGAGCCGGCTGCATCCCTGGAGGCAAGGAGGAAAAGGGGGCACTTAGGCAGATCCAGATGGGATGTGAAGCCCTGGAGCCATCCCCATGTGAGCTCCAAATCACTTCAGGGGCCCACGCAGGCCTTACTCCATCAAAGAGGGGCCGGATGTCCCGCACCAGCCCCACGGCAATGGGGCTGGCCTCCTCTCCTGGGAGGTGACCCATCACATTCCATAGGATCATCAGGGCTTTTATCCTGAGCTTGTCCTCGGCATCCCGGAGCCTGCCCATGATGTGGGGCAAGAGGTGCTGCAGTTTCCTTGCCTGCAGGAAGAGATGGGGGCTCCTTGTGGGAAAGCCTTGACCCAAGGCTGTGGTCACCATGGTCATGGCCAAGAGAGCTCCCCATGGCCCATGGCCAAGAGGGCTCCCCATGAGCCATGGCCGAGAGGGCTCCCCGTGAGCCATTGAGAACAAGGCTCCCCATGGCCATGCCTTGACCCATAGCCAAGAGGGTTCCCCATGACCCATGGGCCAAAGGGTTCCCCATAGCCAAGAGAGCTCCCCATGGCTGTGCCCTGCCCCATGGCCATGTCGTGCCCCATGGCCATGCCCCGCTCACCAAGCCAGGTTTCTCCGACAGCTGAAAGAGGCTTTCCAGCAGCACAGACGCTGTCATCAGGCTCTGGGGGTCCTCAGCACCCTCAGAACCACCAGCACCGGAGGCCATGGGCTAAAGGCAAACACAGGCATTGAGACCCCACCGAGCCTGCAGGGCTCATGGGAGGCCATCAGGGCCCTTTGGGTACTCACAACGAAGTTGGGGATGGAGGTGTCCCGGGTGTCCTGAAGCACCCCCAGCAGCTCCCGTAGGGCCTCTGAAGTCTCGGATATGGTCAGGACCATCTCCCACATGTTCATGTCAGCTCTGGAAGCCAGGGTGCTGAGTCAGCGTGGTCCACACATCCCATGGGATGCCCTATGGGGGTTAGCGGTGCTGTTCCCCATGGGGTGGGATGCAGGGACCTGCTGCACAGGTATGTCATAGCATCATGGAAAGGGCCTTAAGATCATCCAGTTAAAACTCCAATGCCATGGGGTGGGACGGAGGGACCTGCTCCTTAGGGATGTCATAGCATCATGGAAAGGGCCTTAAGATTATCCACTTCCAGGCCCAATGCCATGGGTCAGGATGGAGGGACCTGCTCCTCAGCCTCATGGAATGGGCCTTAGGATCATCCATTGTCGTGGGTCCTTGGGTCTGGTGGCCATAGGGACCAAGCCCTCAAGGCTGGTACCTGTCTGTCAAGGGCACGTTCAGGACCATGTTGACCGCCAATGCCCTCGGGTGCTTGATGGCCATCAGGATGAGGAGCATGTCCATCCTTCTCCACGTGTCTTCCCTGCTGCTATTCCGCAGGCATTCATGGATGCTCCTCAAGACACTGGACATCTGGAAGCGGGAGCATGGGTGAGGATGGTGCTGGGACCGCATTCCCCATCCATCTCTGCTGCTTTGGGTACCCAAGACACCTCCTAGGTTTGGGATGGAGGAGGAGGGACTGAAGGGGATGGGAACGTAGCCACGGGGCACCCACCTCGGCCAGCCAGAAGTCGAGGTTTCTCAGGACCAGCTCCAGGATGTCCTCTGCCACCCTCCTGTTGAAGATGCTCAAGTCCTTCATGGCCTCGATGACCACGCAGACCATGTCCGTCCTCTCCCATGGATAAAGGAAGCCTGCAAACCTCTATGAGAGGAAGATTGGGAAAATGGAAGCTGCATTGTCCCTGCTTGGGGAAGCATCCCACCATAGGGTCCAGCACTGGGGGGAGCTCCATTACCATGGTGAGGTATTGGGGGCTGATTTTTTCATCCCATCTGAGCTTTTCCACTTCATGCTCTGGCTTTGGCCTTTCTGAAGAGCAAGGGGCACACAGGAGAGTCAATGGGATACAGGGGAGTCAATGGGATACAGGGGAGTCAATGGGATACAGGAGAGTCAATGGGATACAGGGGTGTCAATGGGATACGGGTTAGTCAATGGGACACAGGAGAGTCAATGGGAGGAGTTGGGGGGAGGGGGGGCATCACGGCCTCAGGTACCTTTCCGCTGCAGGAGGTACTGATAGAGGCCGCAAAGAGCATCCAGGGCCAGGGAGCTTGTCCTGTCCTTGGCATAGCGGAAGAGGAGGAGGTGGCCCAGGATCTGGCCCAGGAGAGGGACTGGGAGCTCCTGTGGGGGGCCGAGGCTTAAGTGTCTCCTCCAGGTCAGGCGCAGGTTCTGGGGAGGAAGAAAGAACAGGAACAAAAGGTGAAGAACCCAAAGAATGAGGAGGAAAGAAAAGAGAAAGAGGAGAAAGGGAAGGGGAAAGAGGAAGAGGAGGAGAAGGAGATGGAGGAGAAGGAGGAGGAGGAGGAGATGGAGGACAAGGTGAAGGAGGAGGAGGAGAAGGAGAAAGGGGAGAAAAATAGGAGAAAGAGAAATAGAAGGAGAAGAAGGAGGAAAAGGAGATGGAGGAGAAGGAGGAGGAGTAGGAGGAGAAGGAGGAAAAGGAGGAGGAGGAGGATGAGGAGAAGGAGGAGGAGAAGGAGATGGAAGAGAAGGAGAAGGAGAAAGAGAACTAGAAGGAGAAGGAGGAGGAGGGGAAGGAGGAGAAGGAGAATGAGAAGCAGGAGAAAAGGAGGAGGAGGAGGAGAAGGAGTAAGACCAGAAGAAGAGCCTGAAGGACCACAAAAGAAGAAGAGTGAAGAAAGAATAAAGGAAAAGAAAGAGAAAAGAAGGAGGAGAAGGTGAAAGGAGGAGATGGGCCAGAAGAACCTGAAGGAGAATGAAAGAAGAAAAAAAGGAAAAGGAGAGGAGAAAAAGAAAGGAGCAGGAGGAGGAGCAGGGGCAGAAGCAGGAGGAGGAGCAGGGGCAGGAGCAGGAGCAGGGGCAGAAGCAGGAGGAGGAGCAGGGGCAGGAGCAGGAGCAGAGGCAGGAGAAGGGGCAGGAGCAGGAGCAGGAGCAGGGACAGGGGCAGGAGCAGGGGCAGGAGCAGGGACAGGGGCAGGAGCAGGGGCAGGAGCAGGGACAGGGGCAGAGGCAGGAGAAGGGGCAGGAGCAGGGATAGAGGCAGAGGCAGGAGAAGGGGCAGGAGCAGGAGCAGGGACAGGGGCAGGAGCAGGGGCAGGAGCAGGGATAGAGGCAGAGGCAGGAGAAGGGGCAGGAGCAGGGACAGGGGCAGGAGCAGGGGCAGGAGCAGGGACAGAGGCAGAGGCAGGAGAAGGAGCAGGAGCAGGGACAGGGGCAGAGGCAGGAGAAGGGGCAGGAGCAGGGACAGAGGCAGAGGCAGGAGAAGGAGCAGGAGCAGGGACAGGGGCAGAGGCAGGAGAAGGGGCAGGAGCAGGAGCAGGGACAGAGGCAGAGGCAGGAGAAGGGGCAGGAGCAGGAGCAGGGACAGAGGCAGAGGCAGGAGAAGGGGCAGGAGCAGGCAGACTCAGGATGCTCTGCAGGTCCCCGTCTCCCCGTGCAGGGGTCGCTGCCGCCCGCCTCGGTCCTGCCGGGTCCTTACCCTCAGTGTGCGGTGGTGCCGCAGCAGCTGGGTCAGGGCCGCGATCCTGCCCAGGGCCCTCTCCCTCACGACGGGGCTGGGGGAGCCGCTGAAGCGCAGCAGGAGCTGGGCAGGGGGAGAAGCCGTGGGTGAGCCCCGGAGCTGCGGCAGGGGCTGGATCCCCCCCGCTTCCATTGCAGCTCCCGCTGAGCATCACCGCGGGGCGGGCAGGGATGGAGGCAGCGGCACGGGAAGGGATGCAGGGGGTGAGGGCTTGGTCCCCTCGCTGTGGGGGATGCCCCGACCGCAAGGACCAAGGCACGGCCCCGCTTCCAGGGCTGGGCTGGGGCTGGCGGTGAAAATCAGTGCCTCAGCGCTGCCCCTGCCCTGCGGCTGCAGGGGCTTTGGGTCCTTTCCAACCCAGCCCGCTCTGTGCTGCGGTGATTGCAGCGTGCATGTAAGTACGTGTGAATAGGAATAGAGCCCTAGAACTGAATATGAATAGGAATAGAGCCACGGAGCTAAATAGATATAAGGTAGGTCTAAATGTCATAGAAATATAGATATGGATATATAAATATTAGTATAAACATAAATATAGAGATATAAAAAATAAATATAGATATGAACATAAATATAAATACACATATTAACACATATAAATATAAATGAATATATTTTAGATATTACTATATAGATATTAATATAAGTAAAAAGGGAAATACTAATATAAATATTAAACAATTCATATGGATGTATACTTATAAATATAGATATTAATATTAATATCAGTATTAATATAGTAATATTAATATATAAATTTAAACAGTAATACTGATATTCCTCGATATTGCTATTATTATTTTTCTATATTAATTGTCGATATTGATATGGAAATAGAAATAAATAGAAATAGAAATGTATAGATGTAGGTATAAATATATCAATGTAGATATAATTAGATATAAATAAGTATATACAAATGTATCTACACACATATATACATATATTTACATATATACATATAAATATATACACATATATACACACATCTGCGTATCCACACATATATTCACTTATACATATATCTACACATATTTGTACGTATTGATTGATGGCTTGGCTTTGTGAGCGAAGTTTTGGGAAGGGCTCTAACCATGCTTGCTAGAAGCACGATGACCAAGGGCAAGTGGGATATGCAAATCTGGTTGGAAAAAAGGGTGCTTAGACAGTCAGGAAGTATCTGACCAGGACTGTCATCTCCTGAGCAATTTCGAGCTACCCATGTGCTGGTCTGCCCACATGCAAGGTTGGATCTGCAGCTACCCATGCACCTTGTCACCTACCGTTTCAACCCTTGCCTGTATAAACAGACACACATATATACAGATATATACATAAACAGACACACATATATATACATATATATGCATACACATGTATATATATATATATATATATATATACTTATATCTATAACAGACAAGTTCCTCCTCTAAAGACCTCTTCATGCAACAGTTCAGGGCAAGGGAAACAGTCCATGGGCCCCAGCAGCCTGGTCCTAGCCAATGGTGCCAGGAGGCAGCAAAGACCCCATCCCAGGGGGACCCAGCCTCCTGATGTGGAGTCCCTGCCCTGAGCTCTGCGGGCAGCGGCCGCCACCGCCTGCAGCCCCTGTGCTCCAGGAGGGCCTTGGGTTACCCAGGAAAGGGGGGGCCCATGGCTCTGGGGGGGGCCCATGGGTGAGGAGCAGCCCCCGTGCACCCCGCTCCGCACAGGCCAGACCTGCAGGATGCTCTGCAGCTCCTCGCCGCCCCTGGGGTCAGGAGAGTTGAGCACCAGCCTCCAGAGCATGTTATTCATGGACTCCAGTGCCTGCAGGGACAGAGCAGAGCCCTTTGGCCCCTTCCCTCCTCCAAAGGGAGCTGCGGGCTCCAGGAGTGCCTTACCTGGTTGTAATACTGGGTATCCAGGCGTGAAAACTCCTCTTTTGGAGGCAGGAAGAAGACGCTCCTGAAGCAGGTCTCTAAGAGGCCTCTCCCTTGGTCCGCAAGCCCTGACTGCACTGAGCTGCACAGGGAAGAAGGCTCCGGTTGGATGCTTGTGATGGGAGCAGTGGGGTCCTCAGGAGGGATGCGCAGTTGTGGTACCTCAGTTCCGCTATCGCATCCATGGCGAGATGCCGCACCTCCGTGCGCAGCCGGTCCGTGGGCTGCTCTTGGAGCAGTGTCTATAGAGCACAATGGGGATAAGGGACCTGGGAGTCCACCAATGCTGCCCTCATTGGGTGCTGGAGCCCTTTGCCCCATAGCATCCCCATGGGGGTCCCTTCACCTGGATGGTCTCTGTGAGTTGGTTCCTATGGCAGAAGACATCCAGGCCCTGTTGCAAGCCACAGATCCTGGCTGTGCTCAGCAGGGAGCAGACGCTCTCAAGGAATGCA